GGCCCCCGGGGTACTCGGCCGGTCGCCCCTCGCCACATGCTGCCATTCCAGCCCTCATTAGCACCATAATCCTCATTATCTTAATTATTCCCCCCCCACACTTCTTTTCCAGCTGGATGCCAATGGGTTCCCCCCTCTCTCCGCCGCTCCTCGCTTTGGCTTGTCCTTCCCCCGAGCTCCCGGATTTAACTGACTTTTTCCCCCAAAAAAATATTTTTTTTCCTAATAAATAACTTAATGAGGAAGGGGACACGGCGGTGATGGCTTTTGGGGACACCACCATGTCCCCAGCGGATGCCACCAGGCGCCGGAGGGAAGTGACACCCCCGTAACCACAACCAGCAGTTGTGCGGCGCCAAGGGGGGGCAGGGGGGGACAGGCTTGGAAGGTGACTCAGCCCCACAGCGCCTCTGCCCCACACATCCCACCCTTCGCCGTGGGGCTGGGGGTGCTGGCAGGGCGGCGAGGCTGGACGCCCACCATGTGGAGATGGTGTGGTGCATCCCCCCACCCTGACAACGCCGTAAAATTGGGGTGTCTCCCCCCAAACCCCACCCAAGTGTCACCCGTGGGGTGGTGGCAGCGATGACACCGGGTTGTCACCGCGCCTGCGCCGTGGCCTCGGCGATCGTTGGCGGTGCAGGAAGCCGGGGAAAGGGGAAGGTGGGGGGAAGTTTGGGGGGGCCACGGCATGGCCGAGTTGGAGGGTCCCGAATTTGGCAAAGCCGATTTTGTCCTCTTGGATGAGGTGACCATGGAGCAGTTCCTGGAGAACCTGCGCCTGCGGTACGGGGGGGGATGGGTTTGGGGGGGGACACCCTGGGGGGTGGGTGGGTCCTGGTGCTTCCACAGCAGAGCCCCCCACCCCAACATCACCCCCCCGGCAGCGGGGCCGTGGGTCGTGGGGTGGAGGTGATGGGGGGGACACCGTGCCCCCCAAGGGATGCGGAAGAACCCCGGCTCCACAGGAAGCATCGGGGCGGTGCCCATGGGGGGGAAACTGAGGCACGTCTGCCCCACAGCGCGGGTTGGGAGGCTGGTGTGGGGAGGGGGATGGGGGTGCAGACCCGTGTGTCCCACCCGTGGGCCCCCCTCGTGTTTCCAGCCTGTGGGGAGAGCTGCTCTCCCGCTGCCCCACGGCACCGCCCAGCCCCATGGTGCGTGGTTCTGCCCCATAGTGTGGTTCTCTTGGGGAAAGGGGGTGGCTCAGTCCCCCTGGAGTGGGGCGTTGTCCCATAGCACTCAGACCCCTGCC